AACAATAGGATCCTTAAATAGACCATCCATCATTTCTAACCTACAAAAATATGATTATACTTTGATTTATTGGTCAAATAAACACCTATTAATTTTATTTTCTTTTATATTCTGCAGGGATGAAAAAGAAAATCTGATTTTAGACCAGCTGCCCAGGATGACAGGTGCCAGACCCTTATGGTCTGTGAAAATGATATTGGGGAAATTTTATATTTTCTCTCACACAATTAGGCCACCCAAACTAATTAAAAACCACAAACTTCTCTTCTTTTGGCTAGAATTTTGGCTACACCAGAGATCACATGATGATCAGAGGCCCTGACTGGTCTTTGATGATATCATAGAAATTTTGAGAACTGGACACAGGACCCCACTGTGAATTATGCCCCATGCACAACAGTCTATAACTCAACAGGCAGTGCCTTGAGAGACCCTGGCCATGAGCACTTACCTGGTCACGAGTCTGGATACACCAACCCTTTGAGACAGAGAACTCTGTGGTGTAAAACTCCTTGCACACAGAGCCAGGTAATGTAAAGACTAGGGGCTGCTGGCCCAACTTTTGGAAGTTAGGGGGAAGGTATAGAGGGGTAGAACACTGATAGGGTTTTCTTCCCAGTATTGAAGTTAGAGATATCTCTCACCACAGATGAATGAACTCTCTAAGCCCTCAAAAACACATTATGAGGTGATTGATAAACAGGACTTTTATCCTTTACGTGTATGAATATGCTTAACATGGATGTGTTTACCACCTGCCCCTGAGTATTAAAATGAGTGGTTTAAATAAGGGAAGAGAGGCATTGGCCCTGCTGCTCACAAGTGAGGGGCGAAGGGAAACGCACTCTTTTCATCCTCACTGCCTTTAGATTTGCCAACTGAAGTGGCAGTAAATGGATGAGCTGTGCAGACTCTGGAGTCAGGAGAGGAGGGTTTGAATCTTAGTTCTACCAGAAAGAGCTGAGTAGGGCTGGACACACATTTCTTAGCATCTTTGAGCTTCAGTTTCCACATGAAAAATGGAGGTAATATCTCCCTCCAAAGAATGTGGTATTGCAGAAAGAGCACTGGATTACAAATCGGAGAATCCTTTACTTCCTATCCCAGTTCAGCCATTTACTTGAAGTGCACATTTGGATAACTTGCCTAATTTGTCCAACCTTTAGTTTTTTTCCCTGTGAGTAAATAATACCATTTGTCCTTCCAATCTCATAGGTTGATTTGGAGGATATAAGATCATTCAAGGAAAAAACAAAACAAAACAAAAACGTTGTAAATGGTAAGCAAATATGCTAATGCAAATTTACTATCATATTGTAGTAGATTGAATTATGTCCCCCCCAAACTCCCTGAAGCTTGAACTCTGTCCCCCAAGTTTTATGTATTAGAAACTTGGTCCCCACGGTGACTATTAAGAGGGTGAGAAATCCTATTATGGTAATTGAAAGGTGGAGCCTTGAAGAAGTGATTAGATTGTAGGACCATGCAATAGATTAAAAATGGTGGTCAGGGGCATGGTTCTGAGGGCTTTAAAAAGAGAGTGAACAAGGAGGTTACTCTCTCTGCTCTCTCTGCTTCCGATATTTTGCAATGTGAGACCCCTGGGTCACTATCGGCACCACCAGATAGACTTTGGACTTCCCAGCCTCAGAAACTGTACGCAATAAATTTCATTTTCTTATAAATTACCCAGGTCCATGTATTTTGTTATAAGCAACAGAAATGGACTAATACACATACCAATGTAAGACTTATGCCACACTATGGTTGCTCAAATGTCATTTCAGACCAAATTTTCAAGGAATGATCTTGTTTCTCTGCCTGCTGGAAGAGAATAACCGTGCCAGGTTTTAATTCCAGTTCTGCCGCTGACTTAATAGATCCTGCGGCTCCATCCCTCCCACCATGAGGTGGCTGTTCTATTTGGGTAGTGATGATGGTTCCCGTCCTCAGCTTCAATGCTGGATCCTGATAGGTCCATGCTAATCAGGATAATACTGCCCCTGCCATGGAAGTGGCTTCAGGGGTGCAGTTAGGGTGCTGAAGGCTTTGTTTCAGTAGCTGTGAGGTGAGTCACTCTCCCCACCTGGATGTGAAGGAAGCATGTGACCCTGGGAATTGCTGGCAGCCATCTTGATGTCATCAGGGATGAAAGAAGCCAGAGCTGAGAAAAATTTCAAATAAAAAGATCCACTGCTCTGATGATATCATAATCCTCTGGATTAAATTGTAACCAGAGCTAGCATACTTCTGGGCTTTTCTGTTAGGTAAGGAAATAAATTTTCTTGAGTTTGAGTTGGTTTTTCTGTTCTTGCAAGCAAAACAATCTGAAGAGATATACCACGTAACCTTGAGCAAGTTTCACTGCCCCTTTAAACTTCAGTTTCCTGATCTATAACGGGGGGTAGTATAATACATACCACACATAGGGTTGCCGTGAGGCTCAACAGCACTTGAAAAATGCTTAGCACAGTGCTTGGTACAAAGTAAACATTCAGTAAATTGGTGACTATTTTTTATTACATTTGGAGCTCAAGGCTTTGTACTAAATGCTTTAAGTACATCATTGTACCTAATCATAGTATTAGCCTATGAGGATTTATTGCCCCCATTTTACAAATGAAAAAATGAGGGTTAGAGTTAAAGTGACTTGTCCAAGGTCCCACAGATACCAAGAGGCAGAGATTTCACAAAGTATGACTGTTTCTACCTTTGTTTTTTTTAAATCTTTGACCAGATGATTGATGTTGAGTGTCAATGAAATATTAATTGTATTATGTGCCATGAACTGTTAGGTATTAGGGATACAGCAGTAAATATACATACTCTTTTTAGTTTTAGAGAATACGTCTCACAACTATCTGGATTATAAAATAGATTAGATTGAGTTTGTGCCTTGGATTTATTGGTGTCATGCTCGTAACAACTGAGCTAACCAGCCAACATCTAAATCCTATAGGTGCACGAAAAGCACTGACAATAACGAAAAAGTCCTGCAACTAAATGCAGGACACACAGAAGTTGTTTCCATATAAAATGTAAAATATAGGTATTCATCTTACATTCCAATTGATATTTAATTTCTCCTAAAACCCTGAGCTGAAATGTTAACATTTTTTACATTTAACTCCATGGGTTTTAAAAAAAAAAAAAAAAAACCTTTTCATATGCACTATACAGATATCTCTGTATTATCTCTGCTCTGACATGATGTTAACTTGTGTGTGCTTTCTAGGAAGGCTGAACAACACAATTAGATGTGACAATGGAACGGAAGAAAAAATAGGCAAGGGTCTTCACTACATTATTTTCTTGGGAAATCTGCAGGGAAATCTAATGGTGTGTTTTACTGTTTACCTCTAGGTGACATTCTCCAAATGTCTTTACAGGTTATGGAGTGTCTCTTACAAAACTCCAATCACCAGAAATATAAAGAATGACTATATGGAGAACTGTTAATGTGAATCTCTTCCTTCCTAGTGCTCTCTTACATGTAGATCGAGAAATACTTTATAAGTAAACTATAGTAAGCCCTGAAAAACAAAAATAGGCTCTGAACTTGTCTTCTTAAGAACTAGTAAATATTTTGTCTATGAAAATTTAATAGTGTCAGGACACATTCCATATGAGGCTTTACAGGCTTTTGTAGGCAGGGAGTGGGAGAAGGTCCACTCTCCTACTCTGCCTCACCCCAAGCTTTTCATGTAAATTTTGATAGAAAAGATTGAGAGGAGGACCCAGCAAATCATCCTGCAGACAACCTAAGTGGTCTCTGGTTTTATAACTATGAGATTTTTACCTGTATTGAAGCCATACATGAGGAAGCTAACAAACTATTGAGAACAGTGTTTGTTCCTATCTTTTGATAGCTTAGTCTCAGATACCTGAGAGCTGTGGAAAATGGACAGATTTATAATCAGACAGGTCTAGCTTTGCTCTTTCTAGGTGAGATACATTGGGTATATAACTTAACCTCTCCAAGCCTGTATTCATTGAATAATGAAAATAATAAAAACAGGTCTAGCTTTGCTCTTTCTAGGTGAGAGACATTGGGTATATAACTTAACCTCTCCAAGCCTGTATTCATTGAATAATGAAAATAATAAAATCTACTTCATAGGGTTGTGGAATAAATTAGATAAATATAAGGCCAAGCTCATAGTAGATATTCAATAAAAAGTAGTTCCTTTCCCCTTCAATTCTCTAAGAAAATATTTATTTAGTACATTTTGAGAAAAATGTCCCTCTTAGGGACATAACCTAAGCATCACTAGATTTCACCAGTTTGGGAGTTCAAATAATATTTTATAAATAACAACTCATATTTTAAAAACATATTCCGTTTACATAATACAGTAATTTCTGGGCATCACCGGGGATATGTCTTGTGCTTCTTCACCTTCTTCCTCTGGCCTCTTTGTTGATGTCTGCTAATCAGGAAGATCAACTTGAGGGCAGTGCCTTGGCCCTGCCTCTACTGGTGGTACCCTCCACGAGAACAGGGTGGTTGTCTTCTCTGAGAACTGCAGAGATTCCCAAAGTGTAATACTAGCAAGGAGCCAAAATGACACAACTTTCTGTTAGGACTTTAGTGCACTGGAAACACACTGTGTCCTCATGGAAATGACTCTCTCCCCCCATTCTGTTTCTCATTTTGTCACCTGGACCACCCTGTGCTTTCCTATGAAAATGTCTTCGTTAGCCTCTGCCAGCAGCCTTTTCCCTCATCATCCATAGGCAAAGACCAGAAATTCTCAATCCCCAGGTCCCCTCTTCCACATAATCCCACCCCAACGCAAAACACTTCCTGTCAACGAATCCCTTCAGACTGTCAGTTTCCCAGTTCATCATAACTACCCAGACTCTGAAATCCAGTTTAGGCTCAGCTGGAAAGCTCTCTACAGTAACAGTTACTGCACGTTCTGATTTTTCACCCACTAGGGGTCTGCCTTCTACATCAAAAGCAAATATGAGACAGAATAAAACGCATAATATAAATTTATTCTGTGACATTTTCCTCATTGAAAATATTTTAAAATAGATTAAAATACATCAATATTTCATAAAAAATAACTACCCAGTAGAAGAATTTAGATATCTGTAATATACATGATTTGACCTGAATATACTTTTTTTCATTTAAACATTAAAAAAAGTAATAACATAGAAATGATAAGGATTGCTGTATTCTTCATATATCTTGTGTCTCATAAATTTCAATTCAACTGCAAGTTTTTTTCTCAACTATGTATGTAAAGATATTTGCTCCTGTTTTTGAATTGGAAGAGTATCCATATCCTGTTTCTTAACAGTGACATTTAGGTCTTCTTTCTCTGATTCCTCAAGAACATGTTTCATGCCAAGTTTGAATAGTAATCGAGGGTCTGGTCCAGAAAGTGGTGGGCAGTTACAGATCTCTCTAATTTTGAGAGCCTAAAAAGAAAGAACACAATACTATATATTTAAATATATATATAAATGTATTAAGGTTGTTTCACTAATTCCTAATATGTTTTATGTAAAACAATCAAATATAAGAATACAGTCTGTATTTTTGGAACAAAAAGTCTCTTATTTATAACACATGAAAGAAAATCATAGATAAATTCATGGTAAATAGTTACTTTATATGATTTTCTCAAATAATAATATTTTTTAAATAACAACTGTATCTGCAACAACTGCCTAAATGCTCTGTTGAGGATAAACAAGTCTCAGAAATAACTATGGTGTCAATCAATCTCTAGCAAACCCTAAGAACAACCATCAGGATTTAAAAAGATCTGATTACTCTGAGAGTTTTTTTCAAGAAAAGGAAAAAGTAGAATATAGATGTCTGAACATACTAAAATATATCTCTCTCTAACTGGGACAGTCTGGGGTAGAACTGATGCTAATAACCTAGAAAAGTAAACAAATCAAAATCATGACAATTTTTAACTTCAGGAAAAATAAAATGCTGCAGGGGAAGGAAAAGTAATCACAGTATACTATGTGGCTCAGCTATGACTAATGTTTACTACTTAAAGTATCAAATCTTGACTGAACTACAATCACAATGTGATCATATTGGAAAAGGGAGAGCTGGATTCTTGTGTGGACACAGGGTGTGATGGTGGTCAAAGACAGCTTCAGCCTCCACCTTTACTGGAGAGAAAGTAAATAAGAGAAGATCCAAAATGAAGATGTTAAGAAGTAGCAATATAAGCATGTTATCTACATATAATGGCAAATACCAAAAGAAACATGCAATAAAGTTGCAAATAGTTACCCCAGAAACTGAGGGCAGGGTAGGGAGATTGCTGCTTTAAGTAACTAGCCTTAGAGAACTAATTTAAAGTGGTACATGGTTGACTTTTGAGACATAAAAACAAATGATTTTTCTTAAAAGTCTTAATATTCAGTGGGTTATATTTTATATTTTTATTGAAACATAATTGATTGTACATGTCTGTGGGGTACAGTTACATATCAATACCTATGTGCAATACGTGATGCTCAAATCAGGATAATTAGTATATTCAATGTTATACAACGTTATCATTTTTCATGGCCCTTTACTGATTCCTCCCTTACCCCTTTCTCGTGCCCCCACCTCCACCATTTCCCACCTCTGGTAATCTCAGTTCTGTGCCCTCCTTTTGAAAGTTCAACATATTATTGTGATTATTGTATCTTTCTTTCTTTCATTTATTTTTTTTTAGCTCTCACTTATGAGTGAGGACTTATGAGAGAGGTATTTCTCTTTCTGTGCCTGGCTTATTTCACTCAACATAATTTTCTCTAAGTCCATCCATATTGCTGCAAATGGCAGGATTTCATTCTTTTTTATGGCAGAGTAGTATTCCATTGTGTAAATATACCACATTTTCCTTATTGTTAGGGGGTTTTAAAAGAAAGATATTTAGGGAGAAAAGCTAGTTAAATTTTTCAGTACTTCTGACTTTCTGAGAGTGATGTGTCTTAAGGCAAGTAAATAAGGTGGAAAAGGGACAGTAAGTGTTTAGGGGAGTGGTAAAACTTTAGAAAGAATGGCCAGGCAAGTTCTCACTGATAAGATAATGACTGGGGGGGAGACCTGAAGGAAATGAGGAAAGAGACCAGTGAGAACCTAGGAAGAGCAGGCCAAGAGGGAGCAAAGCGGCAAGTGCAAGGGACATGGGAGGGTGTCCAGGATGTTCTGTAACAGTGGAAAGGTGGGTGCAGCTGAGCAGGGCAGCCTCTCATATTTGTGGGATCTGTGGCAAAAAATGCAACTGGAAGCTCAGATACCATGTGTCTAAATACCTAAGAGCTATTTAAGACAAGCTAATAAACTATGACATCAAGTATGTTCTATTCTCCTACTTTCGGGAATACACATCCCAAATTATCTAGAAGTCCAGGTACAAAATTAGAATTCTTGAACTTCAGAATGTGTGAGGTTGGGGAGCCTATTCTAGCTTCTGCTGCTGGCCTGCACTCTGCCCTCTTCCCTCCCATCCTGGCTTATATGGCACTGTAAGCGGTACTGTGTGCATACTTTGAAGGGAAAAGGTCCACACGAGTCCGGGGAGCAGGTTCAAATGTGTCTGGGCAAGGAATTCCATTACCCCAGATCCCAGGAGTGTGGTGTGTAGGGAACATGTTCTTAGATGGGAAAATTCCCTCAAGTCCCACAAGAGGCAAGAGAAAGGAGTCTCCTAAGTGGTTGGGGCCAGGACAGGGGCTTGGTTGTAGGAGCAGTTCTGACTCTGATGAGGCTGTGAGTTAACCAAAGCAAACTAAGAGGAAAAAGCATTAATGAATGTGAAATTCTTTGGTGGCACGGGTTTTGTCTTATTTTCTTTGTATCTCACAATACAATGGATTTAAGATGTTCCTTACACCTACTGAGCATTAAATGTTCGTCCAAGTAAGCCAAATTGAAATAACAAGAAAATGTTTCCCAACAATAGCACTGAAGTAAACAGAAAGTCAGACCCTCAGTTAAATGGTGATCTACAAACAATCCAAACTGGGATACCTTTGAGAGTGAAAGGAGATGCTACTGAGATTTACACTGGGACATCAGGCATAAGCCAAGACAGTCTTGGCAAAGTTGGAACGTACAGTCACTCTTGCTTTAACTCTTTTACAACCATTTTGGTTTTCTGTTCCAAGGGAGCAGTTTATCTGTCATGGCTACTACATCACATGTCTAAACCCTGCCCTGGTGCCAGTAAAGAGGGTAAGTATGGAGTCCAGCAGGCAACAGCTTGCACAGCTGAGTTTAGCAATGGGAAATACAGAGCAGCAGAGAAGAACAGAATGCCACCCCCTATAATCTTTGTATACTCAATAAAAGCTCTTCTCTTTCACTTAAATTCTTATTCAGTCTTTTTACATACAACAAATATTCAGAATACCATACTGAGTAAGGTGCTACCTACACATCTATTAGAATAAATAGTGATGGTCTCGGCCCTCGCATAATTTACTTTGCATTTCTCTATTACTGGGTATTTGAATTGTCCCCACACTTTTGTTCTATTTGACTTTTATAAATTACTCTACGATGAAAATCTTTGTTTAAAAAAAAATTGTATTTTTTTAAACTTCTGATTGGGTTCACTTGAAGTATAACCTCCAAAATAGAAAGATCTGATCAAAGAATAATAACAGATTACAATTTTTGTTATATAGGACAGGACTTCTTTCTACTAGAAAGGCTTTATCAACTTAAAATGTCAGCACAATACAGGCACACCTGTTATTCTCAGTCAGGATAATACAATATTTCATAATTATTATCTAAATAACCAATAACTCCAAACTTCGGAATCCCTAAAAATCATCAACTAAATTTTACAGATGAGAAAACCACAGAGAAGTTAAATGAAAAGCAGGAAACAAAAAGCTGGCTTGGCAAATGTTTATTACAGCTTTATTTGCCAAAAGGTGGAAGTAACCAAGACATTCTTCAGTTCGTGAATGAATAAACTGTGGTACAGCCAAACAACAGAATATTACTCAAATCTAAGAAGAAATGAGCTATCAAGCCATGAGAAGACACGAAGGAATCTGAAATGCATATTACTAAGTGAAAAAAATTTTTTTTAAGCTGTATGATTTCAACTATAAAACATTCTAGAAAAAGCAAAACCATGGAGACAGTAAAAAAATCAGCGGTTGCCGGGGATAGGTGGGAAAGAGGAATGAGCAGGCACAAAGCATTTTGGGGGGACAGTGAAACTACTTTGTATAATACTGTAATGGTAGACACATGTCATTATGCACTTGTCAAAACTCCCAGAATATACACAAAGAATAAACCCTAATGTGAATCGTGGACATTGGGTGATCATGATGGATCAATATAGGTTCATCAGCTGTAACAAATGTATCACTCGAATGTAGGATATTGATAGTGTGGGAGGCTGTGAGTGTGGGGACTGGCATACAGGGGAAATCTCTGTACCTTCCACTCAGTTTTTCTGTGAGCCTAAAACTCCTTTTAAAAATAGTCTGTTATATATGGGGAAAAAGCTGGCTTGGAAGTAAAAAGACTAGGAGTAGAAGCCATTTGTTTTTAATGCTTTTGCCCTAAAGCTTTTTGTATTAATGCTTTTTTGCATCACATGACATGTTTGAGTAAATTTTTTACAAAATAAATGTACTTTGAAGACATCTGAGCTACATTTCTTGAACTGCTAGAAAAACTGTATATTCTTTATAAAGGTTTTCTACCACTATTTCTTCATCTGTGAACTGTTTCTCTCCTCCCAACTATCAAGCAGAATTCTGTTACAGATCATATATATTTCAATCAAATCCTCCATCTATATTTGCACAGTAAGGTTTTATTGGTTATCTTGGTAAAATATTTTTTCTGTTTTTTTCTTTCCTTTCCATTTTTATTGTATTACACTTTGGTGTGCCAACATCTTTTTATTTTTATAAATTCAAATCTATCTTATTAACTATACCTCCATCTCCTCAAAAGTTAGAAACATTTTCCCACTGTACAGATAGAATATGCCTTTCTACTTCCTTTACTCTGTTTTCTGTATTTAACTCCATGCACTGCACATAACAGGCACTTTATAAATGCATGCTGAATTTTAAACAAACTTTTGCAGAACCCTAGTAATGAATAAATCATTATGATAAATGTCATAGGGAAAACACTCTTAAGCATTTACAGTCTAAGAGAAAGCAGGAAAACACTCTAATAGCAAGAAAATATGGTTCTGAGAATCCTCAGGAAGATTTGAAGTTAAATATAGAATCATCCAGCCTAAAGATTCCAACTAGAAGTGCAAGGAATTAATATTTACTCTTCACTTTCTATGTGTTTTGCACTGGGCCAGGTATTTTACCTACGTTATCTAAATCGATGTGAACCACTTTTGTTATGATGTGAACCACTTTTGAAATCCTGGGCCTGCGGTAGTACACTTATCATTAAAGTG